ATGCCGATGGTAGGGGAAGTAATGAGTGCTGCCAGAGGAGCAACCAATGCATTTTCAGGCCTCACTCGGCAATTGAACGACGTTGTACGTAAGAAAAACTTTTGTCTTTTCCTCCCTCTCTCTCTCTCACCGGTTTGATTCTGTTCCCTTCTTCTTCCCCTGTCTGATTGTAACAGTAGGGGGCTGCATCATAAACTCCTGGTAGGAATCATATGGTCAAACGCTGCCTTCTAACTTCTATTAGGAAATTTTATCTGTTATATATATATATATATAGTTGTGTGTATGATGAGACATAAACTCTCTGCTCTTGCCATCTTTAGCTGTGGAAACTGGGAGCTCGGAACATTAGGGCTGCCTTCTAACTTCTATTATATATATATATATATAGTTGTGTGTATGATGAGACATAAACTCTCTGCTCTTGCCATCTTTAGCTGTGGAAACTGGGAGCTCGGAACATTAGGGCTGGCGTTGGTTGTGGGGTCGGCTTCGGTCATGGTTTTGGAGTTGGTATGTTCATGTTATCTGATCTAAGAAGCTGTCTTCTTACCTTCTTCATTTTGAACCGGTTGGTTACTTGGTTATTCACCTGAACATGACAGTGTGAGCACTGGAAGAAGCTCCTGAGTTTGATACACCGACTTGTTGTTGTTTTATGTTGGATGTTATGAAAGAGGGCACTGGACTTGGTATAGCATCATCATTTAGTGGATTTCTTGTACTTGTGCAGTATCATGATTTCAGAATTCTGGATATTTGGAACCCTTAACTGCAATGTTGAATTTCTTGGGTTGGGTCAAGCCTGAAAGCTGGTATGATGTACAGTTACAGTATCATGATGCAGCTTTAGTACTTAGAAGACACAGTAGGGCACAGCTCAATATCTTTTCCGATTCTTCTGGCCTTTGTTTAGACTGTCGTTTAACATGGTTATTCACTGACAGGGGTCGCCGTGAAACCCAGTGCCATGCACAAACTTCAAGCTTCCCTTCTGGTAAGCCTGGTTCTTTCTTCGCACATCTAAGGTGTTCATTCTGTTACCACAAACCCAGAAATAGTTAATCTAAATTCTCCCAGGATGCCGCATCAAGCTTGACAACAAAACTCGGATTAAAGAATCAAACTACAAAAGGAAACCAAATAGCGGAGGGCCAGGCTTCTGGAGTTCCGTCTGGTCAGAACAAATACTTCAACACAAACCCACCCGATAGTTCCGCCAGCGAGCCGCCGGCACTCGGTACCAGAACTGAGAAAGTGATCAATAGTTTTCTCGAGAATCCGATTCTAAAGCAGCAGGAAACGCCCACAGACGAAAGACTGGTAGACCCTGTCAAAGATCGCGTCTTTCTTGTTCTTCTTTTTTCTTTGCTGTGGGGCATTTATTGAACCATTTTTTTTTTATCGACGTCGACAGACCAGGCAATTGAAATCAGAGAAGTTGGTGCTTGAGATGGTAATTTCTCGTTCTCAACTTGTGGGCAATCACACGGTCAGACAAGTGCAATGTTGATCTTGAAACGGGCATTTGGGGCTCACAAAACGTACAAACAAAAAACTTGTTCAGGTTCTGAGACATCAGAAGCTCATTGAAGAACTAATGGAGGAGAACGAGAGGCTAAGAAGGATAGTGGTAGAAGATCTCAAAGTGCCTCCCGACAACAAGCACACATCCCCATGCAGCGATTGCTTCGAGTGCCTCAGAAAACAGAGGAGAAAGAGATAAGAAAGCTCAAAATATAAAACTTTCTCCCGATGGGAAACATTTGTTCCTTTCACAAGGTGACTTTGGACTCACAACGATACTTTGGGACTGTTAAGTTCCTCTCTACATATATGCAACAGCACAAAATTCGGAGCAAACCCTGCAGCTCTTCTGGGAAGTCCAGCCAAAAACCTCGAATCATCCTCTTCCGCCATTTAAAAGGGGTTCTGAGACAGGAACTGGAAGACAAAATGATCAAATATGTTGTTTTAGTTAATAGTAATGAGAGTACTTCCAAAATTCAAATATCCATAGCATGTCACCTTCTTCGCTGTATCCGATTTTCTCTCTAATTTCAGCAATGACCAGACGGGTTAGGAGAAGCCCAGCAATTAGTGCTCCAAGCACCAACATGTCGAACACAGCGTCCCAGCCCAAAGTAGAAAGAAATCCGGTCAGGAGAGGACCAAGAGCCGCTCCAACCGACCCTGTGCCGTCGATGATAGCGGTCACGGTGGCAAGCGCCCTGGAATCCCCACGAAGGGATTTATGGGTCCCGAGGTCTGCTGAGACTGCGGTCGTGATGAGGGCATAGGGCCCATTGACGAACAAGCCGGCGATCATCATTAGGACAATGTTGACATTCTGGGACATGCTTCCAAAAGTGTGGTACAAGAGCATAGCCGGGATCGCAGTGTACATGAACGTAGCAGCGGTGGTGGCTCTGGCTTTGAATTTGTCAGAAATGTAACCGGCAAGTATCCCTCCTACAATGCCTCCTACGTCAAACAGAGTTGAGAGATTTCCAGCTGATTTCACTGACATGTACTCCCCTCCTATGGCTGCAACCAGACAGCAAGTAAAATCCAGATTGGCAACTGAATCTGGTATATAGGATAGATAGGTTCTCAGATATGAGATGTTAAACTAGAGAGAAAACTTCACCTGTCTGGCTCAGATAAAACGGCAGCCAGTACAAGAAGGTGTAAGCGACTAGTTTGGAGAAGAAGAGACAAAGTGCAAAAGGTACAACACCCGGAATCAGACAAGCCTGGAAAAGCCCTACGCTTCTCCTACTGGCTGAGCCTTCAACAAAACCATCACTACTACTTTCCCCTGAAGCACCTTCCTCTTCGTTTGGCGGCGGTGGCGAAGACTTGATAAACTTACCTGAATTGGAATTGATACCCGGAAACCCAACGTCCTCTGGGTATGCGGCCAAGAACAAGTAAACCAGCACTCCTCCTAAGGCGATCACCACACCGGGCGCTATAAACGACCATCCCCATCCATAATCCAGAACGGCCGCAGCAATCAGGGATCCAGAAATGTTACCAACCGACGTGTGAGCGTTCCAAATCCCCATAATCAAGCCTCTCTTCCTTTTCCCAAACCAATTTCCAACCACGGCAACGACCGAGGGCCATCCGGTCGCCTGTAAGAGCCCCGCCATCATTTGCATCAAGAGGTAGAACGAGAATGCGTGAACATTCCAGAAGTACCCCATCCCAAAAAGCACCACGAAAAACCCACTGCCGATCATTCCCCATGCCAGAAACAGCCTCAGATCCAAACTGTCGCCCAAATGCCCAGCCACGTACATTCCCAAGGAGTAACAAGCCAGAAACGCAACGTCGATTTCCCCCAATTTCGAGGTACCGTCCTTTTTATCAAATGGATCCCAACCATTGGATCTCAACGACAGACTCCCGTCAAAGGCCTCGTTTCCGGTTTCTTTCTTCACAAACACGTTACCCAGCGGCCAAGGATTAGTGTTGGGGGGATCGGTGTGCAGAACGCTCTTCACTATGCTACTTGGTTTTCTAGAGGCATGGTAACAGGCATATGCGATGAAAGTAATCAACAACACCGCATACCGAAACGTCTTGGGGCTCCAGTTTCTTCCCCTCATTCTTCTCAGCAGCATGATCCCTGGTGGGGTTTTCCTCATTGAACTCGAAAGATTCGCCATGTTCGCGAATTCAACCAGGACAAAAGAACGGTGAGAGTGAAAGTAAAAAATCCTAATATCTCAGTAGCTCGATCATAAACTCAGAGAGATCGCCAACAACCTATTAGAAAAATTCGCCAGGCGAACCAAATCCAAATACCCAGAACCCTAATTAAAGAAGGTCGTTGGAAATTATTGGCCTTTTGGCGTAGGAAGAAAGAATCACCGACTAATTTGACAGGATGAATACGAGAGAGAGAGACCAGCGGGAGGGAGGGGTTGGCGGGAGAGAGAGAAGGGGAGGAAGGACGCAAGTAAATGTAAGGCGCACCTGACACGTGGCTGTCCGCTGTGGTGGGACAATGAGGCGGAGCACCCTGGACGGGCCACGTCAAGCTCTTTTTAACGGATAGCGAAGGCGCGTGCGTGACACACCGCCATTGGTTGTCCTCTTCCTAACGTGGGCCGAAATCATAAAGGCCCATTGGGGAAATTTTAAATGCCACATAAACTCGCCTCAAAAGTCTACTCCTCGTGTCTTCCTTAACTAGTAACCAACCGATTATATGTCTCTAGCCACATGGTATTCCACGAAACCGTCTTTTCTTTTTCGGACATCACTCGTTTTTCTAATCCGCCAACAGCCTTATCACCCGAAAACACCTCCGACCAAATGGTACAGCCCGTAGCTCTGGCCCGTTCATACACTCCACCAGCTACTCATCAACCGTTGGACGACCCTCCATGCTTCCATTCTTCACCGCAACCAGCTCGTCGTCTTCATCATTGCCGTCGCCCGCTCCTCCATCTCCGGCCGAACCAACCGAGGCTTCTCCTCGGAACAAATACCCGATGGTGACTCGAAGAAAGAACCGGATCACCAAACCTGTCAACAAACTCACATTGACTACTTCTGTTGTGCCTATTGACAGGGAACCTAGCTCGATGGTTCAAGAATCCTCGATGGCGGTTGGCTATGAGCGATGATTTCAATGCTCTCGTCCGCAACAACACATGGAAGCTCGTACCATTCACCTCGGATATGAACATTGTTGGGTGCAAGTGGGTCTTTCGGATCAAGACCAATCCGGATGGATCCATTGATCGGTACAAAGCACGTCTTGTAGCCAAAGCTTTTTACCAACGCCCGAGTATCGACTTTCAGTCCTGTGTACAAGCCTCTGACTATCCGACTGATTCTTAGTCTCGCCGTCACCAATGGTTGGGTCATATGCCAACTAGACATCAATAACATTTTCTTGCAAGGGCGTCTAACCGATGAAGTGTACATGAGCCAACCTCCCGGATTTATTGACAGGGATGGATCGTCATTTGTGTGTAGGCTTCACAAAGCCATATATGGTCTCAAACAAACTCCAAGAGCGTAGTATTTGGAGCTTCGAGGGTTTTTCTTGGGCCGCGACTTTGTGAACTCGATGGCCAACACCTCTTTCTTCATTCTCCGCACCGCTGCCGCTCATATTTATGTTTTGGTGTATATTGATAACTTAATTATCACTGGGAGCAAATCGGATCAGATTGAGAAATTTATCAAAACCCTTGCTTCCCAGTTTTCTCTCAAGGATCTCGGCCCACTCTCGTGTTTTCTTGGTGTAGAAGCAACCCGATCTCCGAATGGGCTGTTTCTAAGTAAACGAAAATATATCGTGGATCTCCTACACCGAACCAACATGCATGAGTCGAAAGCTGTAGCTACTCCCATGGCTTCTACGTCACGTCTCACCATCACGTCTGGAACCCCTCTCTCGGATGGATTGGAATTTCGCACAGTTGTAGGCAACCTTCAATACTTGTCTCTTACAAGACCCGACATCAGTTTCTCGATAAATAAGCTGTCTCAATTTATGTATTCACCAACTGATGTTCATTGGACTGCAGCCAAGAGGATACTTCGATACCTATCCGGCACTCGGAACTCCAGGATCTTCCTATCCGTGGCTAATACACCGACATTACATGCGTTTAGCGATGTCGATTGGGCAGGAGATCCGGGAGAATTCAAGTCTACAGGAACATTCATTGTTTATTTAACATCCGATTTCATGGTCTTTTAAAAAGCTACCCGGCCATTCCCGATCATCCACAGAAGCAGAATATCGGTCAGTGTCCAATACATCCGCCGAAATCCGATAGTTGGCCTCTCTACTCTCCGAGCTTGGAATCGTTCCGACCTCGGCCCCGACGGTTTACTGCAACAATGTTGGTGCCACGTATCTAATTAAGTGCAAACCCGGTATTCCACTCTCGCATGAAGCATTTAGTATAGGAAGATAATATTATTATTAGAATATTATCATTGATATGATTATGATTTAATCTAGATATTATGCCTAGAATATTCTATTGTATTTTGTTATATATTATGATGTATTCTTTTCATTATCAAGAATAGAAAAATATTTTCCCTATTATTTAGTTCTCGACTACCTTTTTATTCGAGGACAAGTGGAGTCCGATGCATTACGTGTACTACATATGAGTTCAAAGGATTAACCAAGCCTCTTCCTCGGACAGGGTTTAATGAGCTATGTGTCAAGATCGGAGTCACTGCGGGTGCTCCGTCTTGAGGGGTGTGTTAGAGATCATGAATATTGTAAATCAAATCTCTGGCTCTCTCTTATATTTGTACATTCTACGTATAATGAAATCAAGTGAATTCACTTAACTATAACATTATGTTATATTTTAATGTTCATCGTACTTTTTCTCAATTTCACACTCATACTAACCATCGAACTTCAAAATCTCCACGAACATCACAATCAACTTTGATTAGTTTTATAAGAAATACTAAAGAGAATAAATACACCGGACTTAAACAGTATATATGTATGTACACACACACACAGATCGAAGACCTCATAAATTTAAAACATTTTACCATTCAAAATGCATATAAATTAAAATGTAATTACGAAATAGTCATCATGCAATATTCACCTCACTTAAATATCCATAAAACATTAAAGAAAACTCTAAAATACATTACTTCATTTTCGCGTTTGGGGTTCTATATACTGTTACAGTTTCTTCTCGTTCCTATACAACAAAAAAGCTCAGTTTTCTTACTGAAGTTCAGAAGGGTCATTGAAAAGAGAGGGGAAAAAACATTTTATATAAGACCCAAACCACTGAAGAGAGCCTCAAAACTCGTTAAAAAATCCTTCCTTTGGTCTGCGAATTGCAAATTTACTAAGGCAGCAATCTCATAAGGCTTCACCAATGAAAAAGAAAAACCCAGAAGCCTAAAGCGTATCTCTTTCATAAAGAGCAAGCTGTAGGAGCTTAATGCTCTTCGCTTTTGTGATGGGAAAACGCCAAAAAGTTTGAAGCTTTGCGTCTCTCCTAAGGCTGGGGAAGCAGCTCTGCTTGAGGAAAAGACCCATTCAAAGGCACATCCAGAAGAAGATCCTGCTCTGAACCACAATTACCTTCATACCCAAACACTGCCGAGCTGCCATCTGATGCAAACGCAAACGCCACGCTTCTGGGGCTGAAGCCATTCTCTGCTGCTTCTTGATTCATTTGCAACTTCATCACCCGTTTAGGGCTCCTCATCACAGCCCTTGTCTCTGAAACACAGACAGAATAATCAGAAACAGATATATGGACACATCTTTATACCTCATGATCAAGCGGATCTCCTATCACTGACCTGATTTTTTTCTGTTTTGGCTTTCGCTAAGTCTCTTAATGGATATGAGATTGTTTGATGCATTCTGGTTTTGTATTCTTGTGGTGGCAGTCGAAGTACCTACTTTCCCATTTTTGTGTTCCTGCAACAAATGCTTAGAGATTACATCATCACCTCAATCCCAAGTTTATTTGGGTTGGCCAAAATTGTGACCAACCATCATGTCAAAAATATCTTGACAGGATTACTTGGTATTTCAAGAAAATTAAGCCGAACCTTGAATTGGTGATAGCTTTCAACCAAGCGGGATTTGGTAAGATCAGATAGAGCAAGCTTCTTAAGCATCTTACGGTCATCTGGTATGGCTCCTGAGGACGAAGATGACTCAAAGACACCATCTGCGACAAGTTGCTGAAACAAAGAGAAGTTCTCTTTGAACTGATCACTCTCAAACATGCTTCTGAGGCTGAAAAGGAAAATGAGAATGATCAGAATTTAGAAAAATCAGCTGCATTCGGTTGAGTTTAGCTTTATGTACGCAATCAATTCGTACCTATCAGGAAAATTAACAGATTCTGTCTGGGGAAGCAGTTTCATCAGCTGCCGCTGTTCATCTTCCGTGAATTGTCCCGTGAACTCATCAAAGTTGAAAACATCCTGCACAAAAATTTCGAGGCAATTGTAACAACCCATCCAGTTGAGTCGCAGAGAAATTGGGGCTAGAAGAACTGTTCACATGCATCTCCCATACGTTGAACACACAATGAACTCACCTTCAAATCTATGCTACAGAGTGGTGAACTATGGCTCCCTAGAACTGAGAGTTTTTCAGTTTGAGACTTGGTCCTGCAACAAGAAACAACGTTTTTGTTGGTGAGATTGGATGTTCTCTTTTCCTGTCTCTTCCCGAAACTTATATCCATGCTCTAGAAAGGTTTACAACTTCATGTGAGTATAGAAACATTTCAGTTTTTCATAATCACAGCACCCAAGATTTTTTCTTCACCTTGACCAAGTCCCAAGCTTCTGACCCATGGCTTAGGAGAAACTAGAGTTAATAAATGGAAATGCACAAAACATTATCACATATGTAGAGAGGATCTACCTCTTGAGTTGCTCCTGCTGA